TGTTTTAATATGTTGGCTAACGTTATATGAAGATGAAGAATTCTGTCAGGCTATTGATTGATTTTCCATTGTTCTGCATTTCCCCAGCTGATTTGAATAAATAAGCTATGCTTTGGCCGACGGTGAGTGTATACTATACTATACTATTTTATTTATTTTTTTAAACGACCGCCTAAAATGAAATGATAACGCGAGGCAAGTGTGTGGCAAGCGGAATTCATTGAGGGATTTGACAGTGTGATTCATAGATTAAGTATTTCAAATATAGGCTATTATATACGCTATGCTACACGCACGCACAGAGGGTTTTTTTCATTGAGGGATTTGACAGTGTGATTCATAGATTAAGTATTCAAATATAGGCTATTATATAGGCTACTCGCACGCACAGAGTTTTTTTTTTTCTTACCATCTTTTGGGGGTTTCTTGCTTTTAGACTAGTCGACTAGTCGGATACAAAACTTTCGTTTAAACGACAGTCAAATTAGTCGTCGCGCACATCCCTAGTAATTAATGACAGAATTTTCATTTTTGGGTGAACTAACCCTTTAAATTGTTTAGCTTACACATGGGGAATCAATAAACCAGCTAATTAATCAAATGTGAAACCCAGGTTTTGATCTGCACTTTGCTTCTTGCCCTTGGAAAATAACAAATGTTTTTTATAGATGCGAGTGGTTTTCATTAAGCCAGTTTCCACCATCTAATTTGATTTAGGTGAAGTGTGGCACAGTTATAAAGATTTGTCATTGGATGTAGAACTTGAGCCGGCTAGTCACACTTAATTGGAAATATACTGAATAAGATCATAATCATGGCATTGTTTTCTTGTCCATTCAGCATTCTGTAAACACAGGCTGAATTGTACGACCACCTGCCACTGTGTTGCACTAAGACCAAATGGCACTCTCAACAGCTTGTGATTGGAGGAGGCAGAAGTGTTTTTTGTGGTATTTTTTCTCCAATGCGTTAGATAATCCCTTATACAGAGCTCAGCCAAGCTGTTCTGTTTTGCTAAAATGATTTAATGTGTGAAACTGTTATTTCATGCTTCTTGACTGGTTAATATACATGGCTTTTTTTGTGCTTGTCAGGGCTCAATAAGGAATGGCCCACTGGACCGAGGCCAGTGCAAGAAGGTTTCAGGCCAGTTTACAGAACACTCTCTTGCCCTTTTGGACCAGTGCTTTGTTGCAAATTAATTTACATCTACTGAGCTTGTACAACCATGTTTATGCTTTGCAAACTGGTTTTCTGTGTTGTACAAGTTCTGCTGTATTGTCACTGAGATAGTGTTTTCTAGATGGTTGAGAAAGTTTTGCTGAAATTGCAAAAATGACCTGTGATCATTTTAAAAGCATCAAAACAGTGCTGTAAAACATTACTGTTTTCAATGTATATTATTGTTTTCTAGCAAAAGTATGTAAATTTACATTCTAGCTGAATAATTTACTGTAGTTCCTTTTGTAAAGCAAAATCTATTAATAATAATAATGCTGATATTTTATGCAATTATTATATTATAATTAATATATTATTTCTACCCAATACAAAAAATACAGTTAATATAATTTCCAGGTCAAATGCAAATGTTCTTTTTCTAAAGTTATAATTTTTTTAACGCATATTAAAATATATAAAATAATTTGTTATATCATGTTTTATATAATTATATTATAATGTATTATTTCTAGTAAATACAAAAATGCTTAGCTAAAAATGAAAATTGGAGATTAGTTTGTGGTGTGGTCTTGCTCTACAGATGCAATTGAGACGTAATTGCCAATTTAATTATTTTGCAGACTTGTGACATTCTCCTCACAAATAGACTTACCTTAAGCACAATGGCTTAGCTTTATGGTTGCTCCTTAACAGTGATTTTCAGCACCATCTGCCTTGGGTTATGTGCTTATCTTGCAGGCTGAAAGAAAGTAAAATACAATCAAACAGGCTGGGATTATCACATGAGCATTTGGTCATACACAGACCTTAGCTGATGTCACCCATTTAACAAAACATGATGGCTTTTAATGAAGAATTTATTACACTGACATGACCACAGGTTCTTGTTTGTAGCTGCTGTATTTGTCCACATAGTTGTCAGAAACTTAGAAGCAGCTAGAATAACTCTCAATTTGCTATTCTCTGATGATCTTGTTATTTCAGCGTCATGCTACAAAAAGAGTGTGTGGGAGTCTTAACGGTGTAGGAGAAAGCTATTAGTAATCATTCTCTGCTGGCCAAAGGGCATGAGAGTATTCTCAAGGGTATCACAGAGCAGTTATGTAAACTGTTGAACAAAATCAGTGTCACACTGACTCACAGCTGTGCTCATTTTTCACCCCTGAAGACGACGGCCTATTGTATTTGCCGAATGTATAGGCCTGGCTCAGCTTTTGAAAACAGGTTAAAGCGCAGCACATCCTTCTCGTCGCAAAAGTAGCACTCAATTCAGCCTCATCCTGCCTTTTGAATCTTGTTTCCCAAACACAGTGCCTGACATTTTCATATTTGAAGAAGATTCATGACTGTGTTGAGTTGCTCTCGGATTTTAACATCAGAGAGGGGTTTTGTGGATGAATAGCTCGACAGTCACATCGCTAGGCCCACTCACACCATGGACCATAACTATAACTACAAAGTTTTTAAGAAATAGTTCACCCAAAAATGAACATTTACTCACCCTCAGGCCATCCAAAATGT